ACTAGTCAGTCAGGCATCAGTAAGTACCCTGTTATTCTCTGTGATCACACTTCAGTCACTACCCACGGGCCAGCAATAAATTTTATGGATAGATGAGTTCAGACTGACAAAACCATGTAGCAATACCAGCCTGCTTGCTAAGATAACTCAGCTAAGTTCCATGAGCCTTAATTATTGAAAGAGTTTTTTTTAAAAAGGCTTTGAGGAAGAACAAGACCATATTAGTTAGACAGCTATTGCTGATGAATTAAATCAACAACAGATAACAAAAAACCATGGCATGTTTTGGGAAAAAGTTATTATTTGCTTTAGCACATTACCCGCTTTCTCAACACAGAAATCACATATTAATCCAGCAGCAATATCTCACCCTGTGGCAAATTTTTCATCATTTCTACTCTTTTGGGGAAGCCAGATCCACAACCCCAAACTATCTCCAGCAAGTTCAATTAACAGACTATTTCATCCTACATGCACGGAAGTTTAATCACTAGAAAACAGGATGTACTTTAATATATAACAACGTCTTCAACATATTATTTTGTGGCTTCATGCAGATTAAAGTATACCTTATATTACATACTCATTTTGTATGTATTTTGCTAGTAAACACAGGGGTGCCTGCACAACAGTCACTTCCTAAATCCCCAGTGAGAAGAAGACCAGCTGGACCTCAAAAGTGAGCCTTAGAGGATGCATCCCCTACCACCACCTTGTCTCAGAGCAAAACACTGGTACCTCTGTCATAGGGTTAAACTCTCATTTTCCTCTCTCATCATCATCCAAGACACCACCACTCCACCCAAGTTACCTAGTTATGCATTTGATTTTGTACGTGCTCAAACTCCACTGTCCCTTTTCACATCAGTTGCACAGAAGCTAGCAGGAGAGAAGCTCACCAACCCATCTTCTAGCTTTATTTTCTCCAAAATGCTGTCATCTGATTTGTGCACATAAGAAAGAAAGGAAAACTAAAGGCTAAAGCACCTGCCAAGTAGCACTTCAGTCAAATCTGATTGGTTTGTCGTTTTCTGTTTGGTTGGGTTTTTTGTTTTGGTTTGTTTTTTTGTTTTTGTTTTCATTTGTTGTTTTGGTTTTTTGCTTAAATGGTTTTGTCTTTAAATGAACCCTTTGATCTACCTCCTGGCTAGGTACTGCTCATGTCCTGATACAAACTGAACCTCACTGACAGATGTGCAGTACTGAGGCACACAGCTCACACACAAAGGATAAATCACTGCCCAGTTACTGTGCAAGAAACAGAAAACCTCTTCCTAACAGGAGGATATTGGACAAAGCGGTAAACACATACAATTAATTCAAAGTTCTTGAGAAGAATATTTCCAAGCTTAAAAACAAAGATTTCGTATTAAACACTGGGGACATCCATTGCATTCATTGACAGCGACAACTCCTTTTGTGTGTGTGTACCATGAAACCTATGGCACAAAAATGTGAGTGATGTGACCTCTTTGCTTTGTTGGTCCAGCACTTACAGGCTCAGAGATTTCATTTCTCCAGGTGCCTTTCTGCCTGGGGTTGGGCTGCACAATGGCACAGAGTGATCAAGAGCAGACAGCTCCACAGTAAGATATGATGTGGGTGCTGCACGAGCTTGGAATGGGGCCAGACCAGCCCCAGGACTGTCAGTCCCTGGCCAAGATGATGAATCTCTAATAATAGCAATTACAGTCATAAAACTACCTATCAAAATGGTCTGTTTCGGCTTTTTTCCAAGGTAGGTGCTATGAAATTGCAAAACTTCATATATTTGCTGTTTCAGCAGTATAACACTAATCCCTTGACATTATGATTCAGCCTGAAGCTCTTTTGAATACCTGCCTAATACTGCAAGTAACAGTATCATTTCAGCATTTCCTAATTTTTAGTTTTCATAGGTTTAGTTTTCTGGACTCCAGACTAACCATAACACTTTTCTTTCAAAAGAGGGAAGCCCATTTAAAACACCTTTTCATGGAACTTATAACTAAACTTTTTTGGCCTGCTGCATTTAGAGAACGTAAGATAGGAAACCATATGGCAGTTTCAGCCAGCATACGGTGGGAATCTCTGAATGGACATTTCTCTCATCTAATCCAGTATTTCAGAACTTATTTTGGCTTCTGGTGTCATGCCCTTGGATAACGAACAGACAAATCACTGTTACAATGAAAACTTGTCTTTTCCCTTTAAGGGTGAACTTTGGCAGCTTGCAGCACAGAACAGGGAAGCACAGGAACTTACAGCCAGAATTTTAAAGAGGTTCCTTTTGTGTGTAATGAAATTCTATGCACATCTGTACAGCTTTTTTGAGGCAGAGGCATGTTTACTCTGCCTACGCTGTACAGCAGAAGTAATGTATCTGTAGTGCAGACCCAGCCTAAGTTGGTATGCTGCATGAAGAAGCACAACTTTGCTTGTACCATTCTGCTGCAGCTATTTTTTCAGTATTTTTTGACTGATTCGCTCTTTCTACAGTGGGGATAAGATTCAGTCTTCACCAACTATTGCATGTCTGTATTTCAGATCGACTTGTGCATAGCCTTTAGTCACACAAGCAAGAGGGCATTTTTAGTCATCAATTCCACAGTCTCAGAAAACTATGCAGCATTACGAGAAAGCAAGCCTGGAGAGAAAGGGATTTTTACATTTCTCAGCCAGGGAGATAAAACCAATGCTTGATTTTCTGAGTCTTCTTTCTATCCAAGTCACATTACAAATTCCGAGTTGAAATAATAGGCTCACATACCCCTTACAGCTTATTCAGTGTGCCAAATCACATTTTCACATGTCACTCCCCAGATTTAAAGGACTTGATTAACCGATTAAGCTTCTGTCATTCAGGGCACTAATTTTCAGAGTTATCTTTATCTGTTAGTCCTACTGTTCATTTTACTAAGTTATGGCACCTTACCACATACCTAGATGGACAACTTTGGGAGCTAGGACAGTCCCCTGGTTATTCACTGCTCTAAACATAATACCTCTATCTATAATATGAATCATTAGTTATCATGGGGTGTTATCTGTTCATGTTTTCACATGTAGATATTTAACACAAGACAGACTGAATCTACATAAGATCTTGCTTGCCATAAACTAGTTGCAGCCACATACAACCCCCCAAATAACACCTAAATCTCAAATGTCTCCTGCAATCAGCTCACACGGTATTTCAGTTGTACTGGGACACCCCCTCCATGATTTGAAAGTGTCACTTTTGAGTTCAAGAGCTTACAAACAGATAATGCTTCCCTATTTTATCTGCACAGTAGGGAAAAAAAAAAAAAAGACAGAAAATCCAGACATAGAAACAATTCAGAACTTCAGAAACCAGCCTTTTTTTCACTGCTTTAAGTCATTTAGGATTCAGCCACCTGAATTTTCCTGCAGCTAAATGAAACGTTTTGGCCAGATCACTATGATTGAAAGCTTACGTCTATGAAATTAAAAGTTCACCTTGGATAGCCCTAAAGATAAGCATCCCCATGAAGCACAAGCAGATAACCATTATTAAAATCAATTTGTTCACCAAAATTCAAACATTCTTGCAAACTGCTTTTTCGTGGTCACATGTACTCACTATACCAAACATAACCAACCATAAGACCACTTCCTTGTTGATTTTCCTTGACATTTTTTCCCAAACACCACCAGCTGCAGATGACAGCTGCCTACTTCTGCTGAACCATTCTGAATCCATTCTGCAAGAATGGATTTTCTGCATCCCAATCACTTCTAGTAAGCTCAGAAGGATGTGTTTTTCTGCAGCAGCATTGCTACTTTAGGATAAAAAATTGCTTTCTTCCACTGCTACTGAACTTCCACTGCATTATGAGACTGGAAAAATGGCAGCTGCCAAGATCTAATTCAATAACAGAAAATTAGAAGTACAGACTATTTACCATGTAGACACAAACACAAACTGTTCATACTCCAACTACATATAATTTAGAGGTAAGAAAACAGCCAGATGCTAAGGATAAATCTATGAAGATGCTTCATACCCTCCATGCTTCTCCCACATACGCATATCTTTCATGTGTGGGCTAACAGCCTAAAAAAAGAAATCATCTGAAAGACATGAGACCATCTGAAGGATAATATATTTGTAAGACACACAAGGAAGATATGCACACATTCCTTTTCTCCTTGTAAGTCCTCAAGCACAGAGGGTCGCAGAGCATTCCAACATTTCCAGTAAGGCACAGGTAATCAGTTGCTCTGTACCTGAGAACAGATTATTTGATAACCACTTCCCAATTTACACAATCCATGGCTTTAGTCTGAGAGAGTTAAGGCTTATTATCTTTCCTTATCAAGTGACCCATTCCACTGAGTTCAAGATAACTACCCATGTGAATAAGATTTGCTGCTGTGAATAAGTGTTTAGTGATAGGTATCTATTAAGATATTATGAACATTAATTATAGAGGAACAATCAGTGCAAAAAGTTTATCAAGTAGAATTGTTACAAACACTTCCTCAAAGCAAGTGAGGACATTTACAGAAATGGCTGCGTTTGAGCCAGTTCCTTGATGATCCCTATTAATTTTCATCACCTGGTTAAATGAGAATTTTATTGAACTGCAGTATATAAAGTTATTTAACACAATTACTAATGAAAACAGCATTAGTCATGTACAAGCCTTTATGCTCATGTTCAGTAAAAAGTTGCTGTCAGAAACCTAGACAGCACCTCGACGTGAAGACACAGTCACTAGCTTTTTAGGATCATATTTGAAAAAGAACCCATAGAAAGAAATAGACCCAAAAAAAGAGGGAAAGCCATCCAGAGCTTTAAGAGAAGAAAGAAGTGCGATGCTCTTCCCCGCCCAGGGATGGCCGGGGAGCTGCTCGCCTCCGGCCGCAGCCTCTGCACCCACGTGGAGACACGGGGTGGCACAGAGCGACGCACACAGGTAACGCTGGCCACGGAAAAAGCCAATTCTTAGCCCTTTTCCCTCTGGGGCAAGGGTAGGAAGGAGGAAGGCTGTTACCCAGCAGGAGGAAGGAGAAGATCCACTGCAGCACGGCGACTGTCTGGATCCTCCTCTTTAGGGGGATGTTGATGGGGGCAAACTCGACCTTCATGCTGACGGGCGGAGAGCAGCGCGGGGAGGCGCGGACCTGCCGGCTCCGGTTCCAGCCGCGGCTCCAGGCGCAGCCCCAGCCGCCGCACCTGCCCGCTCCGCTCCGCTCTGCCGCGGCCCCGGCGGAGGACGCGCCCCTCCCGCCGCCGGCGCTGCCCACGGAGAGGCGGCACCGCCCGCCCCGGCCGTCGGAAACCCGATCCTGGAGCGGCAGTGGGACGGAGCCCGGGCGCGGCTGCGGGGCTGGTTCTGCTACGCCCCCTCCTCAGGGACGGCTCTCACGGCCCGGGACACCGCGGCTGCTCCCGGTCCTGAACGGCAGCGGGGCGGGGGCACCCGCTGCTTTATCGGAGCGAGCCCCGGGCCCGCGGAGCCAGGTGTGTCCGCACCCCCGGCACCTGCACTGCCCTGACGGTCCGGGCCGGCGTTTCCTCTCGCAGCGGCCGGAGCGCCGGCGCTGCTGGGCGCGCTTAAGGCTCTTGCCATTAAAGAGCTTATGCAGCTGACCCAGAACTTAAGAGTTCCTGCAGCGTTCGGGGTCAAGCCTTTCGTTTCTGATTAAACCAGCACACGCACAGTCTCCTCCCGCTGCCGGGGTGTCCGTGACGGGGACCGTCCCAAACAAAAATGAAAAGTGAAAAAACACACTCCCGAAACTTGCACAGCGCTGCCCCGGCTGAACCCTCTTCCCCGCGGGGACGGCGGCAGCGCCCGGGACTCCTGGTCCAGTGTGGGGCCAGGAACAGCGCCGGGGGTGATGGTCCCGTATGGGGACAGGAACAGCGCCGGGACTGGCGGTGCCATGTGGGAACGGGGAAAGGGACAGCGCCAGGACTCGCGGTGCCACGTGGGGACGGGGACAGGGACAGCGCCGGCACAGCGGCAGTACCGGGACGCGCCATCCCCGCGGGCGGTGTCCCCGCTCCCCGCCGGCCCCTCCCGCCCCAGCGCCGCGGGTCCCGGCTGATGTCACGGCCGTAGCTGCCCGCCGCGCTGCCGGGGCCCGGCGCGCCGCCCTCTCCGTCCCCGGGCGCAGGGCACGGGCGGACCCTCCCCACGGCCGCCCGTCCGCGCCGCGTCCCCTCGGTGTCCGCGCCGTGTCCGCCCCGGGGCCGCGGGGGCCGGCGGGCGAACCGCGGGCAGCGCGGCGGGGCCTGGCGCGCGGGCAGCGCAGGCGCGGTGCGAGCGGCCGCCATGCCGACCGTGAGCGTGAAGCGGGAGCTGCTGTTCCAGGCGCTGGGCAGGACCTACAGTGAGTGTCCCGGGAACCCCGGCCGCGCCGCGGGGCTGCGTCCCGAGATCCCCCGGCCCGGCCCCGCGGCCGCCGGGCTGCGATTGGCCCGGACCGGCGAGCCCCTGGGTGGGCACAGCCCCGCCGGCCTCGCCCTCCGCGTGGTGTGTCCCGTGTCCGGGGGCTGAGCTGGGACCCCCCGGGGGAGCCCGGGCTGTGCTGGCGCATCACGGGTGCCCCCGAGCCCACCTGGCTGCTCCTCGGCACCACCGGCACGCCAGGCACGGCCTGGCCCACATGGGCGCTGTTTGAGCCCAGATCTCTTGGGGAATCAGAACCAGGCGCTTCCAGATCGCGGGTTCTGTCTGGGAGTTTCACTGGCTGTTTTAGGAACTGGTTAAATCAAAAAGGAGAGAGAAGAGGCGGGAGTGGTCAAAGCAAGGGGTGAATACCGTGGTTTTATTCAGTTCTCTTTTCCCGGCTCTTTAGAAACGTGACTCTTGGGCTGAAGGAGCGTTCAGGGCCATACACGCAGGGGCTGTGGCTCTTCAGACAAATCTCCGTGGCCAGATCAGGGCTGTGTTACATGCTACGACGCAGTTGATGCAACCTCTGTATAACAAGCTGACAGGAGCAGTTGGCAGGAGCAGTTGGCAGAAGCTGCCCAATTATTCCCTCCTGTTTTCATTGCTCTGACAAGCTTGTCTGAGGAGCTAAGCTCCAAGGCTCAGAAGCCCTTGCTGTGACTGTAAGAATACCATGTCACTAAATGTACGTATACTAAAGAAGCTGCCACTCAGATGCAAATACAAGCAAAATTCTTTAAATTACTACTACCCTTTTTTTTTTTCAAAATATCATTCGTTACCTTGTTTGAAAACATTGAAAACAAACACACAAAAAAATTAAGTCTGAGATCTGCTTATTAACCAAAGTTCACCTTCCTTCACAGCGGATGAAGAATTTGATGAGCTTTGCTTTGAGTTTGGTTTGGAGCTCGATGAAATTGTAAGTAATGTTTTTATTTGTTGCTTTTTTGGTAGAGGTAGTGTGTTGACAGTGTTTACATTTGGTAAGAGTTTTTACTGCATTATTTCCAGTGTATCCTGTGGTACAGTATTGTAATGGATATTGTAATGCAATGTTATATTAACAGTGGTGTTTTGAATCTGAAAAAAATCCCCTGGTATACAAAAATTATTGCCTTGGAAGCAAGAGACTCCAAGGTGGCATATTGCTGGACATTCTGGAGGTCAGCACTCTGTGACACTTATTCTTCAGTCTCTGGCCCCATTTTATTTAGCAGCATAAATATGGCCACAGACCATATATTGATTCTATTTTACAAGATTTGTTTGGCTTTGTTTTGTATGCATTCTTTTGTGCAATATCCACAAAAAGTATATTTGTCCTGTACATTGTTACCTAAGTTGTAATTAATTCATATTTAAAGTTTTGATTTAGATTCTGTACTTGTGAAAATTTGCTAGCCCTGATAAATGTATACATGTAAATCTTTTTCAAGTAAATCTTTTTCAAGTAGACCTATTTTGGTTTTGATTTTTAATTTTAAGTTATTGATCTTTTAATGACATATGTCAAAAGACATCTGAACATCATGTGTTATGCTTTATTTCAGAATAGGTTTGATTATAACAAGTCATTTGCCGATCTATTGCCAAAAATGTCTCAGTTATCTGCTGGGATCTGACAGCCTGGAGACTCTTGCTTCTAAAATTTCTATTTTTAAAATAGTCTCTTAGTCTGAGAAAGATGGTATGTAGCTTCTCATATTTGGTGTGTCCACTTGTTGTATAAATCCAAATTACACTGTTAAACTTCTAATTAATACAGTCTTTTCTTTCTGTGTTATATCACTGTCACATTCCTGTCAGTGATAAGTTATTTCAGGTTCAAAACACGTTTTTCTTAATTTCAGACATCTGAGAAAGACATTATAAGTAAAGAAAAAGGCGAAGAAAAGGCAAAGGGTGCATCTGATGTCGTTCTCTACAAAATTGATGTTCCTGCCAACCGTTATGATCTTCTTTGCCTGGAAGGGCTGGTCCGAGGACTGCAGGTCTTTAAAGAAAGGTAAGGCAGAGTTGTGAGATTTTTGTATGGTTGGTTATTTGTTGACATACAAGTCCATTTCTGATCAGTAAATGAACTTTCTACTTGCTTGGATTATGAATATGATGAGATTCACCAGATGTTCTTCCGGACAGGATCTACTGTACAACTTAAAAAGACTACACTGTTAACTGGGTTTTGGATCTGTTCTAAAAATTTTTCAGCTGCTGTTCCATTGAGACTTATCCTCTGTAAAGAACTCCTGCAGCAAAACTTCCTTATGATCCTTTGTAATAAATACCAAAACAAAGAATTTATTCCACTTTATCTTCTTGAGTCCTTCCTTTCTAGCTCAGTAATCTTTTTACCATCCCATAGAAAAGAAGTTTTGAACAGTTAGCTAATTACATGTCAAGAAACATTACCAAGGAAGTTTTGTACATATCATTGCTGCTACATTTCTAAAGTTTCCTGCCCTTGGGGAGCTTTTTTTTTTTCACTTACAAACTTACTTCTGGTTTTATTTTAGGATAAATGTCCCTAGATATGAAAAGATAATACCAGCTGAGGGTGAAGGTCAGAAGCTGATTATCACTGAACAGGTAAAAGTGTTTACTGCACCTTTGTAAATGTATTGAGAGGTGCTGAAGCAGCAAGATCTGTATCAGTGCCAATTTTGTAAGAGCAGTGAGACTGGAAATCTTATTTGCAGAACAAGAGCTAAGGAAATTAAAATATCTCTACTCATTGCGATTAATTTTTAGTGAAGTGGATGGGGAGGAACAACAGACAAATTATTTTGGGTGAACCTAATAGCAGATCAAATCAAAGTTTCAGGTGCTCAATTCCATTGACCTTCTGGGCCATTACACAGTATATTGCAAACCTCCTGGTCTCTACTGACCTGGATTGGGTTTATTTAGTTTTTTTCCCCTTTGGGATTCAAATGTCTTTCCCTGAATTTTCCTACTTTACAAAAGGGGATTTTATGAAGAAGAGTGCACATTTAATCAGTTGGAATTTTGTATTTTCTGTGTACTTGAAATTTACATGTTGCTGCTGTAAACTGCAGACTGTCCAAATCCGTCCTCACGCTGTAGCTGCCGTCCTCCGTAATATAACTTTTACCAAGGAACGTTATGAGAGTTTCATTGACCTCCAGGAAAAGCTACACCAAAATATTTGCAGGTTAGTGCTTAAACTTAAAGTACTATATAGTGTCTATGTGTATGATTTTATCACATGTTAAGACTGCAGATCCTATTGCTGAGAGGCATTATGGTTACACCCAGAGATATCTTCTATAGCAGCTGTCTTTATCCTTCTCATTTCTTTGCCTGTTTCTGCCCTCTATCAATAATGTTCAACAAAAATAGCTGTTGCAGCTCATACAACAGTTGAGACAAGCATTTTACAACATTCCCACTGGATTTACCTTGACTGTTGTGTTGTTAACATTTGATAAAATGTGATTTGTGAAATAATTTCTGGGCTTCTCAAAATTATCTCATTCTACTTTTTCAGTAAGTTCTGTGAATGCATAGAAGTGTAGAGCATCATGAGATACTATTTCTAAGAAACTCCAAGTATTATTAGTAAAAATATTATTTTGTTTTCTTTTTCTTTGTAGGAAAAGAGCATTAGTAGCAATAGGTACCCATGACTTGGACACCATCTCTGGTCCATTTACTTTTACAGCCAAACCACCTTCAGAAATTAAATTCAAGCCCTTGAATCAATCTCAGGAGTACACAGCCTCACAAATTATGGATCTATATAGGGTAAGTGAGATTTTTCAGGCTTGTTGCACTAAATGCAGGAAGATAAATTTCCAAGGCTTAACATCTCTAATATACTTGTTACTGAGAGTTGTTCTTACAAATAAAACAGTTATTTTCTGTAGCTTCACAGACAGTGAAGAGTCCACGTTTATTCATGAGAAATG